TTCTTCTCCTGTGATATTGGCCGCGACTCTTATCATGACAAGAAGTGAACGATCACCGATGTGATTAGGGACCATCGTAGAATCTAATATCTAAATTTGTCTAGAAATCTATGCCTGGAAAACAAATCTGCTTGCCAGACACACCGCCAAATTTAATACTGAGAATCGGCCAATATAAGGCACCAACCACAAACTCCTTCTACCGACGCCCATATTCCCACAATTTCACCCTCCAGCACTAGTAGGGCTTTTGGCCAACGCTTCATCAAGTTAGTGGGAAATCCCAAGGCAAATGAATGGCGGGAACTTACATGTTGCCGGCTGGTGAGTAGCGAGCGACCACATAGGTCTTACCCGAGGCAGACTGCGCAGTAGCCATTCCAACCTTGGTGGTAGTCTTCCAGACGCATTGAGCTGGATGCTGTCAGCAAGGTGCTCTTCGTTGAGATGACAGCTGCTCTTGGAAGATGTAACTTACTGTAGTGACCATAGTCTGAGAACTGCTTTCCGTTCGAGCTGGCCAGAGGGATAGCCTGCCCGGTGTAGTATTGCTTCTCGTTGAGCCACCAGGTGGTAGCAGCAGCATACGGGAGGCTGCCGCTGCCATACTGGTAGTAGAGGTTCTCGCCTTCATTCCCTCTGTTCGCGTCGTGCTGTAGCTTGTCGATGCTCGCGAGGGTCTTGGCGTATACTTGAGCGTCGTTGGCAAGACCGGCGTCCCAGGTCAAAGGTGAACATCCAACAAGCTTTCGCGCCTCATTGTGAAGGTTTACGGCATTCTGCTGGTCAGCGGTGATGCCCGGAATCGATGTAGGCGAGGTTATAGAGGTGGCGGAAGCAGTTCTGCTGCTGGACGATCTAGTGCTGGATGTTCTGCTAATGGTCGAGTTGGCCAATCCCGTTGAGCTGGTCAACTTGACCGTGGTTGTGAGGATGGAAGTGGATCGGATGATGGTGGTCTTGTCGAAGATGGCGGGAGTGCCGGCTGCCGGGAGCAGACTTTGGACATCAACAAGAACAGGGGCTTGCGCCGTGACGCTGGTAGCAAGCAGAGCCGCTGAGAGAGTTACACTGGTCGAGAAACGCATGGTGGACAGAATTATCTAATCTCCGGGATTCGAAAGTCGGGTAAATGTCGAAAGGAAATGAAAGAACAAGAAAATGGTCCCTGCCAGATGCAAAGTTGAAGGATACCCGTAAAATAACTGGGAAGATGGACACGATGTGTCAAGGGAGAGTAGCAAAGGCGAGCTGGAGAACTGAAGAGAATCCCTTGAACCTGGATGTTCCAGCTGCCCTATATATCATTCCATGTTTCCCAAGTGCCCTTCGAGTTCTCCAGGAAAGGCCGGTATTTTTGCCGTTTTCGTCCCCATCTTATTCGAGACCATTGGCCATTCTTTGACGCTCAAGCCACGACATCAGGTAATTAAACAGTAAGACAGAGTGTCTCGCTTTGGTGCGGCAGGACGGCAGTCAAGCCCCCTCAGCCTCACCCCATCTAGCCCACGAGCTCTTTGTTGAATATGCGAAACACCTTTCGTCGCTTTTGGAAGACTTGAGGGATTTTGTCCGCATGGCCCAGAACTACGCAGTAAAACCACGCAACCGCAGTGTTTGCAGCCATTCGTGATCAAGATGCTGCAAGCCCAGACAGCTTCAGCGCGCCTCCGTCGGAAGAGTTCAATTGCCCCTGATCGCCCAGACACACGCATTCCAGCGATTCTTATCGCCCGTCAGTGGCGGCAGAGTCAGCGCAGTATCATATGGCCCGGGCAGTTTCAAAACAGAGGTGTCTGTGATTTTATCGGCATGTAAGGGGCGTAGAAATGCAATCTTGTCTCCCCGTCATCTCCCCCTCTCTTGGCAATAAGCTCTTGAACATCGATAACCTTATTCGCCAAGTACGAAGTCGGCGATGATAATTTGTGCAACGTCAGCTCCACCGTGATCCGCATCTCGTTTTGACCGGCATCTGCTCCTCCTGACTAGCTCAGGGAAGCTCTCCGGCTTTCGTGCGATGTCGACGCGTCAAACCTTTGGCGGCCTTATTCGCACTTGGCGATCTTCAGCGACGTGTATCCTGCCGACCGGTGATAACGCTAACCTTTAGTAATTGTTGACAGCTGATGGCGCGAAGGAACGCACGCCGAGCTGCGAAGGAGCAGAACATGCCAACCCCATCCCACGAGCGTTTCCCAGACGGATTGTGTTGCGTTTCGGGGGCCGCGCCAAGCTAAGCGCCCGGCAACACCGCAATCCCGACCGCCCACGATGATGGAATAGCATTTACTCGAGTTTGGCCGTCGGCACAGCAGTATTTCCCAAATTGTCTTGTCAAGTCTCCAACCAGTCAGCATCAATGCATGTGCAACGTGCTGTCCATGCTTGTGCTCCGCGTCTCAGCTGTGGAACATAAAAAAACTCGTGCAACACACGTCATCGATATGATCCTGTAGCGATTCCAACGCTCACAAGAGAGAAATCCGGGCCTTTCAACTGCAACTCATAGTTGCTGCTGCGAGATTGACCGACAAACTTCATGATCATGGATATGAGATGTCAAGTCTGTCGACTTTCAGGGTCCAGTGGTGGCAGAATCTAGCTGCTATTCCAGGAACATGGACGAGCTAGGTTGTACCGATCCAAGCCTCACCTTGAGTTCTAAGCCGCGGGACCATCCGTAGCTTCTCATGGTCCGAGTGGCTAACAGGCCAAATCCTCGTTGAAGCGTACTACGGAGACGCTAGAAACAGCCTCTGCTGACGCGGCTGCGGCCTCAGAGAAAACCTTTTTGTTCATTGTGTAACTTCTTTTGACTCTCTCCGAACATCAAGAGCTCTCACCTGGACAATGGCTTTAAAAACCTTGCGTCGTTCGCCACGTCAGCTCATGTCTATGGCAAAGCGCCGGCCGATCGAGTGCGTGTTGTCAAACTGTTCGACGTAGGACGTTGCAGTCAGTGGCTCTTCTTCACTTCCGGCTTCAGACATCAAGTGCTGACCCAATACCCAAATGTAGATCTTATTCGATGCGAATCGACACGGATGTGCGTCAGACTTGGCAGCGACAACTGCTCATCGCTCGTGTACCAAACCCCTTTTGTCAACGGCTTTTCAACTGTGAATTGGTGGGCGGAAGAGTAAGCCGCCCTCGACTGTGCTGGCCGGTGTTCTCGCCGGTCCTCGTCAACTCAGCGAATGCCGAGTCACAAGAAGCAGTTGCCAGCAGCCAGTCCAACCGGGTGCTCCGTCACGCGCATACTACGATCAAAGCATAGAACCCAGCCAATTAGGGGGTCAGTCTAGGGTTTCCTCTTCGGGACATTACCGGGCAAAAGGCTCCCACTTCCGGCGTAGACGCCGGAAGTGGGGGGTTGCTAGCCGAGACACTTTAGACCAAGGGAACCCTGAAATGCGAACCGGCCGTTATACATCGCCAGGAAGAACCTTCAGTTGAAGTACGGAAGTTTTTTTCCAGCGAGGAGACCTTATTTGCATACATGGTTGAACGTTTGCCAGTCGCTGGAGTATGACTTTCATGAACCTACGGCGGTCAGAAAACCAGGGTGCATTGGCAGGATGAGGTCAACGGCTAGGCAGCGTTCAGCTGAGAAGCTGAAGCCCACTGAGATCCAATCTAAACCGGCTAGACTGTATTCTTCAGCTGCCAGCCTGCCAGTGGAGCAAGGTGTACCAAGACATTTCTTACCCCTCGAAGTTGCCGAGCGCAAATAGTCTAGACCATGTTCTTTGTTCTCCGACGATTCTTGATCTCACTCCGGATGCGGAGATCACGTCCCGTAACACAGCTCAAAACCCTTTCTCGGGCCGGAAAATAAAATGATCATCCGGCAATCGTCATCGGCTCAGTCAAAACAGTCCGGAACAGTAGCACTAATCTCATCAGGAGATTCTTGGCTAAGAAAGTTACGTCAGAACGTGTCTTCATGCAGCTCAACATCGTGAGGACCAGGGAGATTGTGACATCCTCAAAAAATAACAGCGATGATCAGTATGAGGCTTGAACTCATGACCTTGGCATTACTCAACATGTTAGATGACATATTAGTACCACGCTCTGACCAACTGAGCTAACCGACCAGGTTGATACCCGCTTGAGTGGATGTTGATGCTCCACGGCTTCCACTCGAGCCTTGAGATTGCATCTGCTTCCATGCATCAGCCATTGGACTCTCAATGATTCGCTCATGATTAGCTGATTCTGGAACCCTTTAGAGGCCGAAACTGCGTACCAGCAGGGGGTGGTCAGTAATTAAGAAGAGAGAAAGAGAAAAGGAAGCAGCTTCACTAAATTGGTCGCCTGGCTGAAGCTATCCACTACTTATAGAAAAGAAATCAACGTATATCGATTGAAAATGAAGTTGATAAAAACAATCATCCAATGATTCACATCAGTATTAATCACGCTAGGCTTAACTTGAAGACTTAAGAGGCAACGGCTGCATCCCACATAATGAGTGCAAATTTGAGGATAATATTCAGATTCAAGTAACTATTCTATGCATGGCACTCGCCTTGCAACGTCGACCGGAACAAGCCGACTAAATGCGTGTGTGCCGAAAGGCAGGGTCCTATGCCGTGGCTCCAATACTACTTTTGACGCGGCTGTACGATCCGTAACATGTACATCAAAGTCCCGCAGTAATGCCCAGACCGAGACCAAAATGGTGTTTTTAGCTAAAGTTTCACCCGGGCATCTCCATGCGCCGCCCCCGAAAGGAAACCAATGCCCTCGAAGACCACTTATGCTTAGTGTTGCTGTTGAGTCATCTGTCGTCGTCTTCGTGTCCGAGATGATGGGGAATTGATCAGCAAGTGGGTAATTGTCTGCTTTACGGAGAGGTCCGCTACCGGGGTCATCTGGATAATCCAGAAACCGCTCAGCCCAGAAAGTGTCAACAGGATGCTTCGGGACACCGTCAACAACAGCTCCTTCGTTCCAAAATGTCGTGTCAAGTCCACCAAGCCAGCTTGCTGTCATCGTAACAGTACCAGCTTGGTGTGAACCGAATCCAGTTTGAGGAGATGTACGGCCTGTAGCGCCAGCAACTTGAAGTCTGAGTGTCTCCCGATAGACGGAGTTGAGGAGGGGAGCGCTCCCCAGACTGGGAAGATCCAGGTGAGCTAGATTGTCCATTGAAAGTTCATGGCGCATACGATACATGAGCGACTCGTCCGAAAGCGTGTGCAGAATCATCCATGCTGCCGCTGGTATTGTGTTTGCGGTTGTTCTGTGAGTCCGGTAAGCAGGTAAACGGAAGTCAGGACCAATTCTATGGAACAAACTTACACAAACAGGTAACCCAGGAGAGCTGAAGCAATTCCTTCATCCGAAAATCCAAGCTTTTCGTGTCGTTGTACCATTCTTCGGATATAGAGAGTCCCCCAGACTGGTTCATACTCCCCACAGTCGAGATAACCTTCGTCTGAGGAATCATGCTTAGCCGTGCATTGAATGCGCCACGCGTGGAGATTTTGAAGCATCTTGTCTCTCTTCTGATACTTTGTCGGAAACAGCCACCTTGGGAGTTGGCGGGAGATGACGGGAAACGCATCATAAAACTCCCAGAAATCTTGACAGAATGAAGGACAAATCTTGAAAATCATCTCCCCGTAAAGAGCTTTCACTTCGGCTTTGAAGATGGAGTCCCTGATGAAGGTGTAGAGATCCGGGATATGGGTAGTTGGAGCATCGAGTAGTTGTCCTTGGAGTTCGTTGCAGAAGTTGTTCTCGAATCTTTTCATGATGGCCTTCAGACTATCGCCGTTGAGAAATGAAGTGAAATCCCTTCGCTGATGTTCAATGATTCTCCGCGATGGGTCTACATGATTGGTTCGGTGGCCTTCGCTGTGGTGAAGCTCGAACCTGGTGACATGTCCGTGATCGAATACAGCATGGTCCTTGGCCGTCAACCCGAAGAAAACTGTCAAAGCGTCAAACAATCCAGGAACGGGAACATATTCCTTTGATTGTCGGAACAATGCTCGTGTGCCCTCTCCAGGCAGAGCTATGCTTAGGTTTCTACCGGGCAGAGACACAGGGAAAACCTGGCGACACCCGTCTCTGCGGAAGTAATCAGAAAGATAGCTTTTAGTCAAAGCCTTGAGAGTTAAACGTACTGGAGCCTACGGAGGAAGCTTTCCGTAGCAAAAGCCAATGCAAGTGGATCCGTAATGAAGGAAAGACTCGTAGGGAACTTGATGATATTACGTTCACCTCCACCCTTCATCCGCAGGCCTTTTCGGTTGAGCGAGGAATACAAGAGGTATGTGAAGACTAAAGGAATGGCAAGTACCAGACCGTGACCGAGGAAGCGTCCCAGTAATTGGGTAGCAACATGGCCAACAGCAGGGCTGACTGTGACCTGCGAGGCAATGTATTGAGAAAGCATGTTACTGTTAATGAAAGGTTGGATTGTTCGGTTGACGACGAGAAAGACCCAAACTGTCAGGCATTTCACACGAAGCAGCTGTAACACAGCGTCTCTGTAATCCTTTTAAATATGCAATGCACGGCAGACCGCCAAGCCGGTCCGAAATAAGAAGCAACAGGGCAAACACGGCCTCTTCCTACCCATCCAATAATCTGACTTTCATTTGCGTTTGCTGTGATTGGGGGCCCGAAAGCAACTCGAAGCCAAACGCACATGCCACTCGGATGCAGATGGCGCTGGCATGCCTGTCCGTGTAATTGGGCTGCCAAGTCTCTTTGTACCTTGGAAAAGACATCACCATGCATTGGGCCAACCAATACCCATGAATCGACCGGAGCTACACCCCGAATTAGGATATATGTCGTCCACAAACAGTGGCTTATCCCTCAACCCCCCCAACGTGAGATTCTCGTCGGCTGGGATCGAGACAATGACAACAACCCATGGTGTTGATTGTGTGAGTGCCTTGAGGTCCAACAGCATGGAACCGAGAGTGAAGGAAAATTTTATTAGCCTGACTTGTTCCCCCTCCCTTGGCCACTTCCGACTGCTTCGTATCAATCATTCGGGGTTAATCGCGTTGGACCTTCCGCCCCGCAATCATTCCCACCATCTTTTCCTCTGTGCAACTACATATGCAAAAGTCGTAAGCGCCCGATACCACCCCCGGGAGGGCTGTGAGGCTCTGCGGACGTTGGGGGCTCCTCTGCGCCGTGCTATGTGCCGCGGTAAGCTGAATGCCAGCACATGTAGCGCGCAATTGGCTGCCATTTTGGTGACACGTCGTGTGGAATGTCGTAGTTAATATTGAAAATTGCCCCCAGTACGTCTTTTGTCCCTTTCGGGTGCAAGTTCAGGTCAATCAGCAGCCGTCGAGCATTTCCAGTCATATTGGTTGCCCAGTCCCTTCCGTAGACACGAGACTGAAGTGATGGGCGGTGGCTGCAGTATGTCACATGCATTGCAAACGTCGCGTGTAATATGGCATCAACGCCGAGCCGGATCTGAGGGTCCTGCAGCCATAACGGCACGAGCAGCGGGCTCTCGGGTCCTCTTGTGGCCAGTGGCTTTTCGGGTGGCTTGCCGGTGACCCCTTCTGCGTAGGACACGTAGATCAGATCCCTGCCATGCTGGCCACTTGCCAGTGGACTGCGCCGTGGTCGGAACTTGGCAACTGTCGAGGTTCCAACGGGCGGTTGCGCCAACAAGGCCAACAGGTCCAACACGGGCTCCCGGTCAATCATGTCCAGGAGCCGGGCACACATTCTGCAGCAAACAAGCAACGGATTATCGGCCGTAACAACGGCCGTAAAGCATGTCTGCCGACAGTCCTAGTTCGCGTTGTGCGACATTTAATCGTTTTGAATGGATCATCTGTCTCTTCCATTTTACACCGCTAGAGTGATTCGAACTGGTGTGGTGTTTCGACTGTGACAGGAAATCGAGATAGTGGGTGTGTTGAATGTTACCATGTTTTCGTGCAGGACAAGTCGACACGTTGCCGGTCGATAATCAGCTCAGTATGCAGTTGCTGAGCTGGAAAAAAGCCAACGAACGAAACCAACACATCATTGTTGGAAGCGCGCGCTGCAAGATGCCTGCTCTTATCTCGAGCATATTCCCTTTTTGTAGTTGTTGACAGGGGTTTTGGACCAAAACTGTGTTGGTTAAAACCCCACCACCCATCTACGGTGGCACAAAATGCAGTTGCTAAGTTCGTCTCATCTGAGGAGTAGGAATGTGCGCCGCACGCCGCACGCATGCTTTGCCCCTTGGGAAAATGGACGCACGTAAACCGGCTTTTCTTTTGAGATGGTGCACCTCAGTGACATCGTCATTATCTACCCTGCAGATGCCTTCTGTTGCATGAAGGATTGCGGCGCAAGATCAACCACCCCCACTAAGCTGAAGATCCCTACATCTAAAGACCTTGCAGGCATCCTTCCCATAGACTTTGAACAAAGAACTACCGTATTTTCTCAGTTTGCCCGCTTCAGCCTTTCGAATATCCGTGCGGCTGATATGGCATATGGACCAACACGTACGAATCAAGGTCACTTGGGGTCTTTTGGACGGGTACCATCCTAGCACGACTGTGGCAAAAGACTCGGATCGGAAGTTGAGGGGAAGAACAAGATGTATCGTTGTGCCGAAATGAAACCTGGTCCGCCCACGTACAGTTGTGCAGTCTCAGCTCCACGCAGAGTTGAAGACTCGGCAAAACGCTGGGGCAAACCCCTTGTTGACGAAACTGGCGGCGAAGCATAGCTTTGTTCACGAGTTAGCTGCACATGGCAAATGATCTATTTCCAAAGCCAAAACGGAAACAGCTTCAGTTGCGAGGCCAAGCTTGAGTTTTCAGAGCCTAGCCTTGACACTTTTTGCCAAGTGAGGGAAGTGCTCCAGATTCAGGTCAACAGCACTCGCCACTGCTTGCCCGAGGTGCAAGCACCGGCGAAATCTGGGCTCTGGTAGCCCAGTTGGCAAACAATCCCCCAGAAAGCCAATTTTCCCATGTAGAAAAGGCTCCGCTGAGCAATGTCTTGGTCAAGCAAACATTGCGTAAATGGTCGATCCGGGTTGTGACGTCGCTTTCTCACACCACGGATGCTCTTCGTCTGCAAGTCATGACCAATGATTGGACTGTCGGCTAACTGAAGTTGGCTGGTTATCTGCCTAAAGTAACAGCGCGATGGTCTCGAAGGTCACTCGTGCGAATCCCACTGATCGCCGGGCCAAACATGTTTAGCTTACCATGCACCCGGAACCACCTCTCATGAGTCGGGTGGAGGGACAGTATAATCATCGGCAAAGGCCCTGAAGGCCGTTCGCAATAGATCAAAGTTGGCCAAAAACGACAATCATTCGATGATCTATCTAGCCAGTCCTGTAACTCCGGATGTCTTTTCACGATCCGTTATCCTCTCTAGTGGAATGTCGCCCGTCACCCATTCCCTGACGTCTTGTGAGGCTACCTTCCCACTTCTTTCCACGTGAACTTCTCTTTTCACATGTATTCCATCCTCCGCACCAAGATCTCTGCGAGACCCAGAGCTTTCGTTATTCACGTACAACTCGTCGGTGGATCCCTGCAGACTATTCCCGTCCCCAAGGCGTTCAAAGGAACCATCGAGGTCATCATCATTGGAGCCTTTGCGGTGTCCCACCCCACGATTGGATATCTTTCCAATCGTCACGAGGGTGTTGAAGTTTTTCGAGTTGCCGGACTTAGCCGCTCCGCTGGGCCTCGAGTTGTATCGGTCTCCGGAGCTCACGACGCTGACAACGCCACCGAGAAAGCGACGGAAGAGAGGGGCGCATGGCGGGAGGCATGCGCCAATGATAGCAAGGCATGTTTCGATTGCAGACGCCGCATGAGGAATGATTACGGTCTGACTGATGTTGTTTCCAGTTGCTCCTTCTCCAGGTCGATAGATGATAAAGAGAACCAGTCGGGCAATCGAGGCGAGGACGACGCTGTGGGTAATCGCGTCAGCTTGCATCCACCACAAATGACGCATAACCTTGGATCATACCTGCCACCAAGTAGAAAGACGCCTGTGATGGCGAGCTTCTTCTCGCGTCCCATTTGTAGTCTCCAGACTTCGTGAATTGGGACAGCTACCGTAAGAATGTCGAAGACGATGTTTGGTACAGTGATGCCAATGTAGAATTTGCTCGAGTCGATGCATGTGCCAGGGATCGTTTGGTCCCAGAATCTCGCGATGGGTGTACAGGAAAAGACTGGAGCAAGACTAGATCAGTAAACCGTTGACCACTTCATTCTTAGCCGGTTTGCGGAGTACTCACTACTGACGCCGACCACAGCAATTCCCCACCCAATGAGTCCGAAAGCGATTGCCCACACGCAGTACCGCAAGATCTTCGAAGCCGAGAAGATACGGTAGAACATGGTAAGCACAGCCAGTTTCGATAGGGGGCATGCAATTCCGTATGCTATCTCAATGGAGAGAATACACTGTGAGGTCAGACGATTGAGTTGCACCAGCAGACGTATGAAATACCTTGAGAAAGGCAGAGACTCCGCCGGGGAATTCTGTCAAGATCTGGGTCATTTCTGTTCCAAGCCCATAATTCACCGCTGGGTCCGAAAATCAGCATTCTCTTCTGAAGTTTATGTGTTAATCGCGAAGCCAAAATCACGTACCGATGCCTTCGCTGATAAGCATGATGTGGTTCGCGATCTTCGCAATCAAAAGAGTCAGTTTAAGGTCGCGACAAACTAGTGCAGAGGAGGTCTGAGCATACCAACGCCGCAATGGCAATATGTTCGTCAAACGTCCATGGTGATTTGGTAACGACTCGGGCAGAATAAATTCGCAACCCGACCAGAAGGGTTGCAATTACGCTGAAGACCGCATGCGGAACAATCAGAATAGAAGCAACACTGTTTTCCGAAGAGTACGTCACGTCGTCCATGGTGAAATCCGACTGCCTGAAGACATTAGACGGTTAAGAAAAAACAAGGAGTGAACAAAATGCTCCGAAGCTAGATTCCTTAGAGAGATGCAGCTAGCCCTTTCATATAACTCAAGCGAAAACATGGGTTCTAACCCGGCAGTCGAAGGTGGAATCTTCTGCAACAGTTCTTCATACGGACAGACAGGGAACCGTAGTTGGACGCCGTACCTTGCATGAGTCGTCACACTCGCTGGAAACGTGATCCCTCCATTGCCATAGTAAGTTGTGCATCCCACGAACATTAACAGCAGTAGTAAAGTGAATATCTGCTCATGTCGGCCGCAGGGCTCCACGATTGACACTCATGAACACCCACAGAGACTCCACCCAATCAATCCGTACGGCCACTAAACTTCACCCGCTAGGATCCTTCCGACAACGTAGGGAGCCCATGACTCGCTCAGCTACAAAACTGTTGGTTGGAGTTCTGTTCGCTCGAATACAAGACGTCCAATTCGAATCCGCCTCCACCTTCC